TGAATTGAAATTCGCTCTCTTTGAAATACCCACTGTTTGTTTATATTCTTCTTCGTTGAAAGTAATATAACTATTATAAACACAAAAATGAAGTATAATTTTTACATTGAACTTTTGTAAATATAAATTTTGGAATGTTTACTTCTGTATTTACAAAATTATCGAACAAGTCACTGAATACACGTAAAAACAGAGCTGGTCGTACCTGAAACTATTAAGTTATTTTAACATTCCAAAACTGGAATGTTGTTCTTAATAATACAAAAATAATTACCTGGATTATTTATAAACAGTGTTTTAATTTTATCAAACACGACATCCAGAATATTATAAGAACAATAGCTACAGATTTAGTAACTGTATTTAAAGAATTTGTTATAAATCTGAACTTAATGGGAATTTTATGCAATTTTGGAATTCCATATAAAAATGATAATTTAGAAGAAGAATCTGTTTGTATATTCCATTTGTTAATGGCTTTCTTTATATTAGTAATAATAGTGTTTTTCTTTAAATTACTTTTAGTGAATATACTTGTATTATTAATTTCTTTAATTATAATTTATGCATATAAGTTTTGCATATAAAGCCAAAATTACATTCTGCTTTATCAATCGGGTAAAAATAAATCGTTCTTGAACTTTTTTTATTTTATTTTTGAAGATATTGAAAGAAATATCTATTTTATATTGAGATAGATTTAAATTTCTTAATCAATTTTTTTTATGGAGTTGATAAAACATAATTTCCATTCAAAAAAGAAACGTGGAATATAATAAGTTTTTTTGCTTATTTTAATAATATAGTTGTCAAAATATTTTTCCAAATCTTTTAAGATTTCACATTTTTTAGTCTTTTTTAAGATTCTTAATTTAGTGCCTTTCTAAATTACCTGTAATTATACGACTGTGAAAAGGGTCTTTAAATTCATTACTGTGACAGTAACAAGGCAATTTATTAACTTCTATTGAATTAAATTATTCAATGATTGTTTTTATAATTGAAGATATGAAGTTCTATAGATTTATTATATTTGAAGCTAACTTCAATACACCACCGATTTCCCGGCACCTCCTTTAAACGCGCGCCACACGCAGTGCCATCTGTGGCCGCCCAATGAACTAGTCTGGCGGCCGCGGGAATTTCAAGTGCGCTCTCGTAATTTTGTCCGGATTAAAGCCTCTTTCGGGACGAGCTACTTACATTTTAAGTAGGTACGTCACTCTCGTGAAAATTTTCTTATAAATATTAAACTAGTGGATAAAACTGCTTGAATGTTTTCAAAGAATGTTGCCAAGAATATATAGTTTAACAAGATATAAATATTTAGATTTCTTCTTCAATTTTTTACAACTTCCAGACCTTTGTGGTTAGCTCTACAATTTCAATAAAATTCTAAAATTTGCCACTTTGGAAGCGGTATACTGCAACATTCTTTGTAAGTACAGTAATTAATAAACTTTTTCGTTTATACTGTACTAATAACCTGTATCATTTATACCTGTACTAATGTATTTCATTAATCATTTAATATTTGTTTTATTTAAGTTTCTAGCAGTCCGTGGTGCTTTAGAGACAGGAGAGGGATATAATTAGTGAGTGAGAGGTGTAGTGTATTGTTGAATTATTATTACGTGACCTCTGTTGGTCCGGCAAGGCTCTGGAACCAAGGGTGCCGGAAAATCGGTGGTGTACATGTATAGGCTAAACTGATTTAATGGGAAAGAAAAATATTATCTTGAACACTTTTATGGATTAAAAAAGGTAGAGTTAAGTAATCATATAACTTATGTTTAAAATCTATAACTATATAAGATTTTTCATTTCTCTTTATTAAAGGATTATTTTTTTTGTATTTAATTCCATTTTAATCTAAATATAATTAAATATTTTATATGAATGTTTATATTCAAATTTAACATATATTTTGACAAACAGCTAAGTTTTTGTATCTTTTAATTCAAGTAATTGTTTATTACAAATTTTATCAAGTTTACATGTTTGTCAATAGCAGAGTATAGAATTTTATAAAATTTTCAAAATCAATCCCTTTATTTTTACATTTATCCCTACATTTATTTTGTTTATTAATATAAATATTGAGCTGAAACAAGTTTCTAATATAAATATTTTTACTTAAATCTTCAGCATTTTTATTTTTAAATTTTGATTTAATCCATAAGTATAGTTTTTTCTTTCAAGATAAAATACTCTTCTCTTTCTGTTAACATTTTCATTGAAAATTTTTCCAATGTAGTAATTTTTACATTATTAAATGAATGTTTGTTAAAATGATCTGTTTCAATCGAACGAGGAAAACCCTTAATACTTTGATATCTATGTAGATTATCCTTAGATGTAAAGGATTAGTTGTTTTTCCTACATATTTAAAACCACATATGTTACAAGTTAATAAATAAATTACATTATACATTTTACACAGTGATATATCTTGCAGTACATTTTAAAAATCCATGGCTGCCGGACAAATTAAACATCTAGAACTATTGCAATTAAAAAATGTTCATGGATTTGAATAGCATATTTAAACAACTGGCAAATAGCTAGCTAGGCTATTAGTCAATACATAAGATTGATAGAAAATTCACAAAAGGAAAATTCCAAAATATGAAAAACAGAAAAGGGCAATAAATCAACACCCTAACACCATTTTTCGCGAAATCATGAAATAAATAGCTTCAATACCATTATTTACATCAATTGTTAATAGACGATTAAAATCAGCACTATAAAACAATAATGGCCTTAATATAAAATAAGCATTAAAAACTTTTTTCGCAAAATCCATTGTAAATCCCAGTCGTCACCTTAAAATCAAAATGGATATTGTCTGTTGTAATAGTTCCCAAATGCGTTGGGGATATCCCATCTACCAGGCAAAATCCAAACGCTTTTGTTAAACTAGCCAGTAATCATGGAAAATCAATTAAGGGTATGGAGTTGACTGCTTAGACCCACAACGTCTCAACTCCTGCTGCCTTTCACTCTCTGCAGCCAGTTGTGAGAAGGCAACTTCCCCTAAAAGTCTTTATAATTCCTAAAGTAGACATGAAATGAAACCACCCGAAAATGTCTACAATATGCCACTCCCAACCACCGCCCTCACAAAAGGAATAAAATAATAAAGATTTTAAACAGAACTACAAGCCCTACGTTAATATTTCTTATGTAGTTCATACTCCCAACTTCCTCCATTTGGGAGCTATTACTACAAACACTATCCGTTATGATTTTAAGGTGACGTCTAGGATTTACAATGGATTATAATTACATTTTTATATCATTTAATGGAAATATTGCCTTACTAAGCTGTAACTTTCTCACTCTCTGTTTTTTTGTTGTTTTCTACGTAAAAGATAAAACGTGGACTTAAATTTTCGAAAAGGTTTTGATAAGATACTGTACAAAATATTAGCTAAACAATTCACATCCGTTATTCTAAAGGTAATGTCAGATTTTCCAAGAGTGACCGACACTACTCGCGTGTCTGGCCATTCTCAAACTTAAGGGAGGTCGTAACCTAGAGGTTTCGCATGACCTAAAGTTGTAAAATACTGCTATTGACATCCTAGCACAATGTCCAGTATTAAAATCTTAACTATCTTAAGCAAACCAAGTGTTAACTCAAGAGAATGGCAATAAACAAAGGCAAATAGAACAATATCAACTAAATGACTTTCTTGGCCAAGTGTGAAAATTATACTTATCAGTATAACTGACAAATTTTGAATAATACTATTTTAAAATATGATGGTATAAAATGCATGACAGGTCTGCATACCATAGCAGTAAAGCTAAAAGAGGCAATTTTCTCTACACAAATCACTAGTTAAGCCCGACTTAGAATATGGTGGACAGTTTTGTCTTCTTATCTAAGAAAGAATATTGATATAGTGGAAAGTGTTCAGAAGAGGGCTACTAGAATGATTCCAGAGATGGAAAAAGACAGTTTGTTTTTTATCAGGGTGATTGACTTAGAGTTAATTGCTATCAGAAGAAGTGTAGGCTAGTACTTTACGGGAGGGGAATTGATATTTCATGAAAAAGGGCAGATTTAAATTTTTACTTTTCTCAATGCTGAATGTGCAAGGACAGCCTTAAAGGACCAATGATTCCTTGTTATCACTATGTTATTTGGAATTAAATTATTTTTTTCAAATTGGCAGCCTAAGCAGCAACTTAAGTGCACCATGGACTCAACGATCAAGCCAGAGATCCCTAGGGATCAGGTATAGCCATCCCTAATTTTGAGCTAGTGATCAGACAGAGATATCCAGCAAATAAAACAGTCAATCACAAGTTCTTTGATTAGCTCCTTCTACTAAGATTAACTGTCATTTTTTAATCCTTCTTTTGCGGCTTGTGTACATCTGCCTACCACCCCATGTGCAAAGATTCGTGAATTTGCCCGGTATTCTGCAATGGGCAAAAACACTGCAAGACAATTCTGGTTGACCTTTGTTTTAATTCTTCTAGTATGTCCTGAAATAGTAAACTCGATAAGGAAGTGGTATGACAGTCTTTATATCTAAGTAGAATCTTCTGCCTCAGTTTCTCATGGCAGACCCATTTGTCGTGGAGATACTCACGGTTGATCAATTCTGGTGGGGTGTGCTGTTCTACAGAGATTTGGCCCACTTGCAATATTTGTTATGGTTAATTGGATTTGAATGATGTTTCCATTGTCAATTTCTCTGGTGCCAGAATATCACATGAACTATCGTGAAACTGGAATGCGTATTTGACAGATGTACGTAGGTCCTTAGTTAAATGGTTGAGACTAATAATGCTTCAGTATTTTTTGTTCTTGGAACTTGCAATGAAGTGGATGATTAGATAACACATCTAAGATTTCAGTAACTTCAGGAGTTTAACCATTTTATCTTAAATTTATAATTCCTGTAATCTTAAGTTGATAATGTTTGCAGTATATAATCAAATGTTTGTTTTTGTCATTTAAAAAAATATTTATTCAACAGTTCAAGAACGACTCACGAAGCAGATTGCTCTTGCTATTGTTGAGGCTATCAGTCCTACAGGGGTAGGAGTTGTTATTGAAGCCACGTAAGTAATGAAATATATTACATTATCATTTTTATATATCTGCTTAAAAATTAGAAACATAGAAAATTAAAGAACTCTAAATTCACAAATGATGTCAGGGCTTTTCCCCTCAAATCTACAGTATTATAAAACAACTTTTATAAATTGGCTAAACTTCAAGTTCAGTTAGTTGTTTCTAAAAGTATCATAGCTAATAATGGCCACGGCATTATGTTTGACTCTGAGAAACCAGTTAAAAGAATTAAGTTGGGAGTAAAATAGCATTAAACTTATCTAGCTGAAAACAAAAATGTCCAATGAAAAGTTTTGCACTATCACATCAAGTTCTTAAATCTCGAATTGTTCAAGTTATTTATTCACTCAAAATCAAAATTTAAGTGTTAATGAAATATTACATCCCTTAACATAAACTGGGCTTTAAATCAAAATGTAATGAACTGAGTTACGAAGATATATGTGTAAAAACACAGCTAATCTCTTGAGTCAACAAGACAATGCATAGTATTCCACCCCCAGTATTGCAACTTTACAGCAAATTTTACTAGATATGCATTATCGTATGAGGAATCCAAGGGTGTTCATCAACCCACATATAAGAAAAAAAAAAAAAGGTTATTTTTCGATAGATGGAGAATTTCGTTTACCAAACTTTGCTTCAGATCATGGTGTTATTGTAACACATAATCTAATTCTTGGGAACTGCAATAATTAGCATATTTTCTGTCTAGACTGCACATCTCAGATGTCAGAATAATCAGATTCTAAAATTAATTGCATGTATAAAATAGCAAAATGATCGACATACTACCAGCTAGTTGCAAATAAATCGAGCCTAAAAGGCCAGAAAAAACTTTTCATTGTGCTAATAAAAATGCAAAATTACCAAATAGAGGCAACATTACCTAGTGTGGATAGGTTCACAGAATTGTCGAAATAAGTTTACTTTGGTGAGATAAACCACTCCATTCATATGCCCCGCAGACCCCTTATATATCTTGTATTCTAACTTTTCCTGATCTTACTATATTACCAAAAAATTACCCATTTTATTCGGTTGGCTCAGAGATTCGTTACGATCATCCATAGTGTAATGAAATCCATATACCAGGATTTAAAATACTTACCAAATACATGTAACAAGATGAAAGCACTTCAAAAGTTTTTTTGTTTTTTTTATATATATCTAGCCACATGTGTATGGTGATGCGTGGTGTTCAAAAAATCAATAGCAAAACCTTGACTAGCACCATGCTTGGCTATTTTCGGGAAGACCCAAAGACCAGAGAAGAATTTCTAACCCTAATTCGACAATAAAGTTCCATAGTTTAATATATTTTTTCAGTGTTATAAATCTTGAAATAAATATTAACATTCAAAAAGGGCTGTATGTTATATCTTACACATTAATTTCTCGTTATGGCAAATCATGTATCGTGGTATTTTTTTTAAGTATGTATGTATACATATTCTATTAATTATATACACTTTAAAGTCTTCGTAAACAGTGTTTAGAGGGAGGGTGTACGTAAAACAATAAAAATTCCATCTAAAATATTGACTAAAATTATGGATGTAAGGAAAAATGTATATGGAAAAATAAAAATGCATTCTAAAATGATCTGACAAGGATAGTTATACTACACGTCATGATGTGAAAAAAAAAAAGGACACGTCATAAAGGAAACTCTTGGCATGTAATAGCTACATTTTCAACGTCTGAAGAAACAACTTGTATACAAATATACTTGTTTGTTGCTGTCAAAATCACGTTTTCTTTATATTTGACCCTACAATACAGTAAATCTAGACACGGGAAATTGGCTGATCGACATTATTTGGTCTAGTTCGAGAAAGTTTCTGGTGGGTTGGTATTTCGTATATCCCCCCACAATTGTTAAACCACTTTCTGCACTACATCATAGCAATAAGGTTTTAATGCTGCACCATCACTCTCCACATACTAATTATTCTTTACTACATATAAGTGAAATAAAGTGCTGGTGTAAGCGTACACGTAACTTGGGAAACAAGTAAATGGATATTTCTAGAAACATAACTTTACACACTAGTGTTTATGGTATCACATATGGGGAAAAATTGGATAATGTTCTTTGGTACACTTTCACAAAAGTTTATAAAGTAATACAAGTGGCAGCACAAATGCACGAAAAATAACACTTAAATTATTACTAAACTGTAGAACTATACAAACCACAAAAGAACACTTACCGGCAAATGTTCTAAATAGCAGCGTTTAATAATAAAAAAAAGCTTTAATTCTGGTGAGCTACGAATCGCATATTAATATGAATGTAAAATATGCTTACCAACCAAAACACTGGAAACTCCAGTGTGTTGGCCACACGTGTGATATAAGCATGATAAGATTAAAAGCGTATCATTCAAAACCATGTCTTGCCTAATCGCAACTAACATAACTTGATCAACGTTTGTATCCAAATTAACCATAACAAAACTGATAGTTTTAAAATAATTTTACGCTAAAAGAAAGTCACTTGTACGTACACAATATGTAAAACTCAGCTTTATAACAAATGAAAGCATGGTAGACATGCATTATTTTTCATGACTGTTATAAATTGGTAATCCAATAAAAAAAAATTAAATAAACAGTTTCATTTCGTTTAAATGGAAGTTTTCTTAAAATTACTGTAGTTTAATAAATAGAGCTGTACAATATGCAAAATAGAAATAGGGAAAATGACATTAAGAAACTCACTTTTAAAAGACCGTGTTTATAGTATATTTGAGGTGCTTGAAATGCACTATATTAAGGACACCTTAGGACTCGTCCTAAGATCAGTTTGAAGTACGTCATTACTAGGACAATAACACTTTTTAAACGGCTCCACTGCAGTAACAATCAGGTATGAATGTACTGAAAAACCAGTAGACCACAAACCAACATTTTCTGGTCTGTACTGTCATTTCAGTACATTCATTCCTGATTGTTACAAAATTCATTTAATAAGTATTGCACTTCTGTTAGAAAAAATATTTTCGAAATATTAAAGAAACAAATCCCACGCTTTGACAGTCAATTTGCAATTATGACACTGAAAAAAAGACTAAAGCATTAAACTACAATAAAAGTGAAAGTGATGTTTATTTTCAGTTTATTTCAAATGTACATTCACAAGTTGATGAAACCCACAGGACATGTTTTAAAGTACCTGTAGCTTGTGAAAGATCTGTGGCTTTCAACAAATCTCGATAAGAAATGACAACCAAAAGATGAAAAACAGCTAAATTGATTTTAAAAAAATGGCATTCAAGAAAATCACAAGATGACTGATGAGACATTATGCTTCTGTCGCAGGACTATATGGCCCTTGAAAAAACGCAAGGGCCTTAACTGACATGATAGCAGTACTTCCGAAGCTACTTCAAGGACACCTTGTAATCAGTAGAAACTGTCTGAAGAAAAAAATTGCTTCAAATTACTAAATCATTGTGACTATGGTTCTCCATGCTTTACAATAAAACTAAAGATTGAAAACTACCCAAAAAAATTTAACAAGCCTAAACCTTAACTTAGAATAATAGGCATAACAAAACAGAAAAGTTACTTTAAAATAATTTTCATACTTAACCAAAAGAAAGTTTGTTTTTTAATTAAGCAGAAATATTCAATGGGTCTAGAAAAAGTTTCTTGCTCTTACATATCATAAGGGCAACTGTTAAAACGTCTTAACCAACCACTAAATCACTATTTGATCACAATTAATTATGTTATTATATTCTTTAAAGCAAATTAACCAGTGCTGTTTAAATCCAGTGTCTCAATATTTAAAAACGTTGCTTCAACCTATTACTTCAACTGTAACAAGGAAAATTACAATATTAAAAATGTACCTTTTGATTAATTTCTACAAAAAATACATATATAATCTTTATCTCCAAACATTTCTTATTACCCAGATATTATTAAGATAAAATAGAATAATTTTCTGTATTATAAAAAAAAAAACATGAAGCATTAAGATGAAATCCTAAGTTATAAAATATTACACTTATGAAAATAAATATCTAATACACACTTGTAGAAGTTATGTCAACTAGAGAATTTAGTGTTCAAAAAGATTAAGAATACAGTAGTAATCCTGCTAGACTAGGTCCCTTTGACATTGACCTCTGCAACAATGGAACACCAACCATAGATCTGAATACATGATAAATCAAGAAAGACATCTGTTCAAGAGTTTAGTTTCAAGCCATCCTGCCAAGTCTAGGCACTCTCCATCTGTATGGTCATTCAGCTCTTTTTATACAATAATTCAAAACTGGAGGCACTTTAGGTAGGCAATACAGAGGAAAGGGGAAGACACTACACATGGACATTTACCCATCTATACATTTATTGGCAAGTTGCAGATGCCCTACAGTTAAATCTAGAATTTTTGGGAGTTACTCATGAATATTTGCATTATTTCATTACTATTTAATGATTATATCAATTGAACTTTCCCTTCAACAAATGTTCTTTTTTTCACAGCTGTTTGAACCACTTCCACCTCATCACTAATAATAACTACCTACTTATTTCAAAACTAAAAATCAACCCAGTTATAACTAATTAAACATACTGTCCTTAATTTTTTTAAGGATAATTCATTGGACACTTAGATAACTAAAACCCATATATTAAAGCTAATAATTCAAAACAATCTCTATAACAAAAGTATAATTAAAAATCTATATATAACATCTTAACCAGTACTGCTAATAAGTGTGACATTCATGTTATTATACAACATAACATCAATAAGTGTATAAGCAAGAAATTCACAATCCTCCCTCAATACATCTTTTCACCAATGAAAATCCACTAAATCACCCCCACAATGTAAGGTTAGTGGAGTCTGCATTTCAGATAAAATTACTAGATGTTACTCTTTAGGTGTAGTCAAGTAGCAAGACAGTACCAATGGTAGAGCACAAACTAGTCGCAAAATGGAACTTGTACATACTTAGTATCAACTATGTACAATAATTTAAACTAACAGAAGGTAAAACTAATGGTGGACAATACACTTATATGGTTCAATTTTATTTTAAGTTAACTTAAGAAATTGAAATTTACATACAAATTTTGGAAAATGTCAAGATATGAAAAACTATTAAACCCATAAATCTAAAACCATTCTTTTTTTCTTTTTGTTTTTTAAGAGAATGGTTTAGGCACAGATGGCACTAGTAGTGTCATGGCTGGAAGACATTTGGGAGTGGGAACAAAATTAACCACAAAACAACCATAAACGGCATTTACAAATACTTTGAATATTCAGCTGCATACTATACTAGACTTCAGAAACTTAATATTCTTGATGTTGATGACAAAAGACTGATGCAGCCTTTGCTCAGTGGTTATCTTTATCCAGAGCTGTGAAAGCTGTATGTGCAAGCCCTCTTGACTCTTTTGAATAAGAGTTTGTACAAGTAAAGCACCAGCTATATAATCCTTGTTAAAAACCCTAAATGATGACTGCTGGGTTCTTATTAAGAACTATTCAGACAATTTTCTTCCTTTTATAAAAGTTGCCACAACTGCCATTACCATGCCTGTTCTGTTTAGGTTTTGAAACTGGACAAACATGCCAAATCTAGAGAAATATAATAACAGAAGGGTTATTGTAGCTAGTTAAAACCTACACTTTTGTCACCACAAATCTTTCTGCATGATAAACAACCTTGTGTTTCAGCAAGAATGTGTTGTTCTTTCTCAAATTAAACCCATAGTAGTTATTATATTTGCAATCCTAACCAATAATTGGAGTGAAAATGAAATGCATTTCACACTGGAAATCACACTGTCAACCATAAACATTTAAGAGGACATCTCATATCTTGTGATGATGCAACTGTCATGTATACAAGAAAAAATGTTAAGATTTTTTGCAACATTTGACAGATGGTCTTTTATACTAGGTTCCCTGTCAATCATTAGCATTGTTTATCTATTTGGACAAACAGCTGAATCCTTTAAACTTATCTGGTAGTGACAACCTGAATCAATATAGGTTCCCCAAAATTAGAGCAACTCAGCAATCTATAGTGTATCATACCTGATGACCCCTTAAAATAAGAATTTCGAAAAACAGTACATATGATAAATAATCAGAGTTTAAGAACCCTACTTAAAGCCTGTAGGGTTCTTAATTACTATTCTGACATCTTGCTTTTATAAAACTTGCCACAATTGCCATTACCATACACTACTGTATCTAGTACAACAGGTTGGTTGGTTGTTTTGAATTTCGCGCAAAGCTACACGAGGGCTGTCTGTGCTAACCATCCCTAATTTAGCAGTGTAAGACTAGAGGGAAGGCAGCTAGTCATGACCACCCACCACCAACTCTTGGGCTACTCTTTTACCAACAAATAGTGGGATTGTCCATCACATTATAATGCCCCCACGGCTGAAAGGGCGAGCGTGTTTGGTGTGACGGGGTTTCGAACCCCACCCTGCAAATTGCGAGTCAAGCAAACAACAGCAGAACAAAGTTAGACAAACAAATGAAAACTAACTTTGAAAGAGCACAAATCATTTTGTAAATAGTTCCAACATTTACAGCAACAGACAGCACCTGTTAAGACTTAACATTTTTTGTTACTTATTATATATTATTTTGTGATAAATGTTCTACAAAATTAACCATTGGGAATTTTCAACGGAAAACATTTATTGGCCTCTATTTTTACTACTATCGTTATTCATATTGTACTTTTGCATGTGAACTTAATCAGAAATAATGTTACACTAGAAAATATTTTACTTGTTTCAGCAAAAAGCTACACAGTGGGATAACTGTGCTCTGTCCATCATTGCATGAGATTCAACCCTAGATGATAGCATTACAATTGCATAAACTTACAGCCGACCCACATAAAACACTGTAAAAAAATTTTACAGTATAAAATGAAGATTTTAAGAAGCCAGGTGTTAAAAAAACCAAATTCAAGTTTTTAAAGGTTAGTGCAATCTCTATCTGACAAGGTTGAAACTTCAAGTGAAAGTGAATCTGATTTGGTAGATTCCACCAATGATACTTTAAGTGTCAGTGATCCCACCAAAGTAATTACTCCAAAAACAGACTCAAAATAAGAAATGTTAAGCTAGTGGAGACAAAACAATTCCTGGTTTGTCATTTATTCATAGACCCTACTTGATATATTGGAATAGAAGCAATAAGATTGTATCTCAGGGAAAGACCTAAGGAAGCTAATACACTTGATATACAATGATTTTTTTCCATGTATTAAATAATCTAAATAGCATCTGAAAAGATTAACAGCATCAAAAACTCAAGCATTACTCGATTCATAAACCATACATACAAACCAACCAATAATCAATAAATGAAGATCAATATAATGAGCTGAAAGCTATTGAAACAGTTAAGAAGAGAGAAAACATTTGTTGAAAGAATAAATAATGATGAGACACTTATTAAGTAATAAGTAAGAATAAACACTCATGGATGACTTAATATATGTGCAAGCCATTAGTAACTTTAGCATAAGCAAGAACCTCAAACTTTATGCCCAGAATTACTGTTTACCCAAAACATCCACTTATGAATAGACTTTAAAACAAAAGCCACATGACAACACCAATGGAAGATATCTTGACATGGTGGCAGGGCTTTAAACTAAACTCATCTGACGGACATGGAATGATCTCTCTATGAAAGGTAGATACCACAATAAACCTCACAGTGCACCTCAGAACACACATTAATACCAGAAGGTAAGTTATTAATAAAGCATTAATATGGATTATTACTATGAATGACATGAACCACTGATCTACTGCCAGAGAGTGATGTCATCCAAAATGGCAGAAGAAAAATTCATAGTATTAAAAATTAACAAGATCATTCAATATGATTGCACTTAATGGAGATCACCATCTATAGATCAACCAAATGCAACGTCACTTGACCTCTGTGACTTACAGTTCATGGTTCTAGTCTAGAGAGATAACTATGTACAAGTATACATATTTTTGTAAAGAAAAATGGCAAAACGTTTTAATCAAACATTATAGTCACTCACATGGCTAATTACTTACAGATTCTAAAACTTCTATTTTAGAACTAATAGCCTAATATTTTTTACTTACCTTTTTTCTGAAAAAGTGGAAAATATACCACAAAAAATGTGCAAATGAGTTATTAAAGCAATGATTAATTTATAATAATTTCATCTCCTTTCCCATGTATTCTTAACAGAAAATGAATTATTCTGAAACAAAAGAAAACATGGAAAATATGAGAAACTGAGTTTTTAAAACATTACTAACCTTTTAAAAGATTTTAAGGGCAAAATACACTAAACGATTGTAAGCACAAAACTATATATATTCAGCACTCAGTTTAAGGAAGCTTGCTCTGACTGAAATATGAAATTATGGCTTCACATATTGGAACAGTATTCTAGCATGACTATTGCATGGTCTCATCTCTGTGCACATTTGCTTAAATATAACTTGCCAAAAAGTAACAAAGCACTAGAAAAAATGAAATGTTTTATTTTAGTAGATGAGCTTCTTAAACTAATTAAATAATCAAATGCATTAAGTGTTTAGTTGAATGTGTATGCAACTACCTAGTGAAATGCCTAAATGCAACAGAGTAATATTTTTCTGCTAATTTATAATTCAACTTAACAATGGAAAATTCCAGCAAAAAAATCAATCAATAAATTTGGTGAATTTTGGCCTTAAGTTCACAGGTTTATAAAAACAAAAATAATTACTTTACCTGTGGCCTAAATATCAGCCTGCTTACTTTACAGTGGGGAACTTCAAAATAGGTCAAATTACACGTCTATAGCAAAAACTAATTTTCATTCCCATTTATATTAAGCTTAAAAACCACAGGTCACTCACTAATTTGTATGTTCAGGTTAATGCCAAGCATTGGCTCTACAGGCCAATTCACTGGCAAAAAATTTAGGCAAACACTAACATGATAAAAAAAAAAAATTGTAAGTGATGAAGGCTTTGCTCACATTGTAAACTATCTGTTACCAATAGGGGACCTGCTGCGGTAACTTGGTCCAGAGCTCTTGTAGTCATAAGAATCATAACCTCTGTCGTAGGAGTCAAAATTATCAAATCTACCTCCTCCATCACGAGACCTGTATCCTCCACCTCTGCGAGAAAAGCCACCATTGCCCCCGTAACTGTCGTATGATGAGCCTCGTCTACTAAAATCTCCACGACCACCTCTGTAACCACCACCTCCTCTTCCTCTGGATCCACCTCCTCTGCCTCGGCCTCCACCTCTTCCACCACGTCTTCCTCTTGACATTTCTACCCTGATTCTTGTGCCATTGATAAGCTGACCATTCATTGCCTTTATCGCTTCATCGGCATCTTCTCTGTCATCAAACTCAACAAAACCAAAACCAGGTGGATTTTGTGCTACCCAAACGCTAACAATCTTCCCAACTTTTCCAAACTCTACTTCCAGGTCTTCTTTTTGGACATCTTCTGTAAGACCTCCAACAAAAACACGTGTTCCACTGTCACTCCTGCTCATCTTTAATGATCTGTTAACAAAAATGTAAAATCAGAGCAAGTTAGGGTGCAAATTGCTTTAGCTGGCACAGCATGACCGGAAAACACTAAATATTACTAACAAAAACAAAGCAACCTTAAAACTACAAGAAAAACTTAAATGCATCATCTAATAAATATATCATAGCTTTATAAATTATAGGCTTTCCTTTAAGAATCTAAATTCATATACTTGATGTCTCCACATACAGATTTTAGAAACAAAAGAGAAAATACAGTAAATTGTTTAATATTTTGAATATCTCAATTTTTATTTTATCCTTTAATTTCTATTTCCACTTGAACAGTAGAATTTTGTTAGAGTAAAACCTAGACAATTCCACTGGTATCACAAAACTTTTACCTGGAGATTACAGTCCAGTTAGTCTTTCTTCTAGCAAGAGATTTCATTAATTTCATTTAAGATTCCAGAAAGTCTGATAAAAGCTTTGCAAACTCATTTAGTGAAATATGACAAGAGAAAACATGAATTCACTAAAAGGGAATTTTCCCTTACTAATCTATTATCTGCTTTGTGAAAATGTTATCAGAATAATGGAAAGGGTATGATGTACTTCAAATTTCCAAAATGTTTTATATCAGGTACACAAAAGTTTAAACACTTGCGGGAGTTAGGAAAAAAAACTGGAATTTGAACCATGCCACATTTAGATAAGAGAAAGCAAAAATAATATTGATAGGGGAATAATTAGTAAGTTTAAACATAGCAATAAACTGTTATTTGTAACTGCATTATCAGTGTTGGAGTACTATAGAACATGGTTAGTTACGATGATATTAAGGACCCAAAAATATTGTAGAACCATCCTTCATTTTAATAAATAAAATAAGCTAGAAATTGCTCTCCTAAATTACCAATGAGAGACACAGCTCTCCTCAGGCGAAAAAAAAAGAGTACAAATACTGAAATTCTAACAGGTTTATATTGTGATTGTTCAGGAACTGTTTATTTTGTGCTGTAAGTCTAATTAAAAAAACATTTACAAGACCTTTAACCCAACCAACACGAGTCTTCCTATGTTAGTATTATACATTAGTTAATTTCTTAATCTAAAAGTAAGTATTAAAAATATCTTAAATATCAATTTTTGTGTATCACGTGGTATGTTGAATGCAGCATTGGTTCAAATTAGATATTTGTGAAGTCCACATACAAAGTCTATTTCCAATATTGACAAGCTAGAATACCAGATAGGAACCTCTTATCTTTTGACAGGTATTAACACTTTCAGCATGGACTTGGTCCCTAGGACCGACCTTGTAATAATTTTGTACTTTAGTTTTCATGCTTTTAAATTAGTAAGTGAATGTTAACTAAATTTAGCACATTATCAGTAAACATTAATATGCTTTCATATGAAAAATATAATTTTTTTATTAAGTCTTAAAGTTTGTAAAGCAATGTTTTTTTTCTTTTTGCATGTAGCCTAACATGGAAAGTAATTTCACATGCAAAATCTTTATATTTTATCTGTTATTTTCAGTAATTAATCTCTGTAAGAGTTTGGTAGATTTGACCGATCTTGTAACCACT